CAAGAAATTGTATATGGCCAATAAAGTGATCTTATCTTATCTTTTATCTAACATCTGCTGTAAGAACAAAACCGTCGAATATCATTTGAATTGGCACAGTACTATTCAACTGCCCAGTTCATATTGCTGGAAATAACATACTGTCCTATGTGATGAATATTCCTAAATGAAGGAAAGGGACAGGAAGCACTCCATCCGACCGATCCATTTGATGTTTTTCCATTTGCTGACTCCTGTGTTAATTATAGTGATGGAGCAGTAAGGCAATTAACTTATACAGTCAATGTGACATGACTCGGAGAAAGGGAGCAGAATTCTGGATGTGTTCTGGTATTCTAGAGAGTTGAGCTGATAAAGCACAGAATGAATCACACTGCTCTGCGATTGGAGTCTGATCCTTTTCCCTGTTTTTTACCTCCCCCCCAACAGGGAAGGATTTTTATGCAATGTGTTTGGCTTAGGTATTGGGTTATGTGTGAGGGATTTGTTGTGCAGTGCCTCAGATGGATAACAGAAGTTTGCTAAGCTCTCCATCCTCAGACGATCATATTGGACCTACTGTGTTGTTAGCAGCCTGTTTCGTACCAAACCCTCAACATACGTTTTTTTCTCATGTTGATACTGAAAGCAGCTTACAGTGGAAGACAGAGGAGGAGGTGAACAGCAAAAACAAACCTCCAAAATGTTCTTTCTTCAATGAAGCTGCGATGTGTTATGTTCTCTTAAGTATAACAGAAATAGGTTTTGCAAGTTCAGCTTCTTATCGAGTGAAAAGACAAGATTTGATTAGACTTGTTCCACTGTTCTAAAAGTGCTAAATATACAGTATCTAAACATGTATTTAATTCTGTCTGTAGAGCTGGGAGCCAGTGCAGGAAGACCATGCAATCAACATATGGTCTTCACTACTCTTAAAAGGATGCATGAAGAGATAGTGACAGCACAGATGTGAAATTTTGTTTTTTAAATGAGATCACAAAAAGGCTCAGTGGTAATCTGTGAGATTGTCTCTGAGCTTTAGTCTGCTGGGCGTCTAGGTGGGTGCTTCCTTACCCATGGCTGATATCTCTGTTATTGACTGTAAAGAAGCCACAGTCACGCACAGTGTAGCACCGGCGTTGGGCATGTCTCTTTCAGAGGCAGCAAGTTGAATCATTTCTGTGTTTCTGTGAGATGAACCCAATTTCATTTTCTGAGACGCAGGTTTTCTGTATAAACAAATTCGATTATTCAGGGAAACACATTGTTATTCCTGAACCGTCGGCCTAAACATCCCTTGTTAAATAGCGTGGCCTGCTGTACAAAAACATAACTTAAGATTATACATCCTGCTGCGCAGATGTTCCTTATTTAGAAGTTTGGGTGAGAAGCAGAACAAATCCACATTCGGTTTCTTCAACACTTGAAGAAACCATCTTATGGCACGCACTTTAAAAAACGTGTTTCAATGGCCTTAGTTTTATTTCAATTTTAAGGACATAGTGCCATAAACAGACCCATCACAGACTGGTTTCAGCCCTCATGAGCCTTGTATTAAAAAAAGTCAAGGGTGTTGCACAAAACAGGTAATGGTTAGGCCAGAATCATACATGTTCAGGTACAGTTTGTTATACTTATGGTGTTATACAAGCCACTCTTGAAACCGATACAACATCTGGTCTATCCTGAACTTTGTAGTCCATGTACACTGCCCCGTGTCCCTTACTGTATCCGTGTGTGTGTTGCCTGCTCAGGAACCAAGCTGGCTCTGAAGTTCGTCAACAAGAACAAGACAAAACTGAAGAGCTTCCTGAGGGAGTACAGCATCACCAGCAGCCTGAGCTCCAGCCCCTTTGTCATCAAGGTGCTGGACGTGCTCTTCGAGACCGAGGAGAGCTACGTTTTCGGGCAGGAGTACGCCCCTGCCGGGGACCTCTTCGATATCATCCCCCCGCAGGTAGGTCACTTTGCCCTCTTGGTAGCAGCTATTTGGAATTCCGGTGCTCTCCGTGTTTTCCTCGAGGTCCTGATGGGAGATGGTTGTACTACACCAGAGTTTGAATTCCGAATCCTACTCATTGTAATCCAGAGTCACACACCTCCTGATTTGGGACATGATCTGGAGACTCATTTTACATACAGATTAAGCAAAATATAGATATACTTATCTTTGCAGTGAACGATACTCCCCTTGCCCTGCAACTCAGCCCACTAAACCTCAGCAGGTGTGAGCCTGGTCAGTACCTGGATGGGAGACCTCCTGGGAAAAACTAAGGTTGCTGCTGGAAGAGGTGTTAGTGGGGCCAGTAGGGGATGCTT